GTTTCCTGTCTTGTTAATTTTCACCATTCTCACTGGTGTGAGGTGGTATCTCATTGTGGTTTTGATTTGTATTTCCCTGATGGCCAGTGATGCAGAGCATTTTCTCATGTGCTTGTTGGCCATGTCTATGTCTTCCTCTGTGAGATTTCTCTTCATGTCTTTTGCCCATTTCATGACTGCATTGTTTCTTTGCTGTTATGTTTAATAAGTTCTTTATAGATCTTGGATACTAGCCCTTTATCTGATACGTCATTTGCAAATATCTTCTCCCATTCTGTAGGTTGTCTTTTAGTTTTGTTGACTGCTTCTTTTGCTGTGCAGAAGCTTTTTATCTTGATGAAGTCCCAATAATTCATTTTTGCTTTTGTTTCCCTTGCCTTCATGGATGTATCTTGCAAGAAGCTGCTGTGGCCGAGTTCAAAAAGGGTGTTGCCTGTGTTCTCCTCTAGGATTTTGATGGAATCTTGACTCACATTTAGATCTTTCATCCATTTTGAGTTTATCTTTGTGTATGGTGCAAGAGAGTGGTCTAGTTTCATTCTTCTACATGTGGATGTCCAATTTTCCCAGCACCATTTATTGAAGAGACTGTCTTTCTTCCAGTGGATAGTCTTTCCTGCTTTGTCGAATATTAGTTGACCATAAAGTTGAGGGTCCACTTCTGGATTCTCTATTCTATTCCATTGATCTATGTGTCTGTTTTTGTGCCAGTGCCACACTATCTTGATGACCACAGCTTTGTAGTACAACCTGAAATCTGGCATTGTGATGCCCCCAGCTATGGTTTTCTTTTTCAAAATTCCCCTGGCTATTCAGGGTCTTCTCTGATTTCACACAAATCTTAAGATTATTTGTTCCAACTCTCTGAAGAAAGTCCATGGTATTTCAAGAGGGGTTGCATTAAATGTGTAAATTGCCCTTGGTAACATCGATATTTTCACAATATTAATTCTGCCAACCCATGAGCATGGAATATTTTTCCATCTCTTTGTGTCTTCCTCAATTTCTTTCAGAAGTGCTCTGTAGTTTTTAGGGTATAGATCCTTTACCTCCTTGGTTAGGTTTATTCCTAGGTATCTTATGCTTTTCCGGTGCAATTGTAAATGGGATTGACTCCTTAATTTTTCCTTCTTCAGTCTCATTGTTAGTGTATAGAAATGTCACTGATTTCTGGGCATTGATTTTGTATCCTGCCACACTGCCGAACTGCTGTATGAGTTCTAGCAATCTTGGGGTGGAGTCTTTCGGGTTTTCTATGTAGAGTATCATGTCATCTGCGGACAGAGTTTGACTTCTTCTTTGCCAATTTGAATGCTTTTTATTTCTTTTTGTTGCCTGATTGCTGAGGCTAGGACTTCTAGTACTATATTGAATAGCAGTGGTGAGTGGACATCCCTGTCGTGTTCCTGATCTTAGGGGAAAGGCTCACAGTGTTTCCCCATTGAGAATGATATTTGCTGTGGGCTTTTCGTAGATGACTTTTAAGATGCTGAGGAATGTTCCCTCTATCCCTACACTCTGAAGAGTTTTGATCAGGAATGGATGCTGTATTTTGTCAAATGCTTTCTCTGCATCTATTGAGAGGATCATATGGTTCTTGTTTTTTCCCTTGCTGATATGATCAATCACATTGATTGCTTTATGAGTGTTGAACCAGCCTTGCATCCCGGGGATAAATCCCACTTGGTCATGGTGAATAATCTTCTTAATGTATTGTTGGATCCTATTGGCTATATCTTGGTGAGAATTTTGGCATCTGTGTTCATCAGGGATATTGGTCTATAATTTCCCTTTTTGGTGGGGTCTTTGTCTGTTTTTGGAATTAAGGTGATGCTGGCCTCATAGAACGAGTTTGGAAGTACTCTATCTCTTTCTATCTTTCCGAACAGCTTTTGTAGAATAGGTATGGTTTCTTCTTTAAACGTTTGACAGAGGGAATCACATTTTAAGAAGTGCATTGATCCACCAGAGCATGTCCACTGAGAAGTAAAGGTGGGGGGAAACAAGGAAGGAGGATGAGGAGGTATGGAAATAGGCACAAGGTGAGGGCACACATATGTATGTGAGATCGTGGGAGAGAGAAGGTGTACATAAATTTTGGTAACAGAGAAACTAGATACCTAGATGTTTATCCTAAAGAAAAAATGACTTTTTTAAAAAAATATTTTTTTCTTTATTTATTTATGATATCACACAGAGAGAGAGAGGCAGGGACACAGGCAGAGGGAGAAGCAGGCTCCATGCACCGGGAGCCCGACGTGGGACTCGATCCCGGGTCCCCAGGATCACGCCCTGGGCCAAAGGCAGGTACCAAACCACTGCGCCACCCAGGGATCCCCAAAATGACTTTTTTTTTTAAAAGATTTTATTTATTTATTTATTTATTTATAGAGACACAGAGAGAGAATGAGACGCAGAGACACAGTCAGAGGGAGAAGCAGGTTCTGTGCAGGGAGACTGACGTGGGACTCGATCCAGGGTCTCCAGGATCACACCTCGGGCTGCATGTGGCGCCAAACCACTGCGCCACCGGGGCTGCCCGAAGAAATGACTTCTGAAGGCATGTTAACATAAATTAGACTATTATATGTGGTTCTGAAGGCAAAACTGGGATCAATGATAAGGCAAAAAAGTCCAGCTTAATATAAAGTAAAATTCTATAACATTATAGCTGTCCAACAATGGGATACATAGGACTCACTTAACATTAAGTACCTTGCAAAATTATAGGTATTTAAGCAGAGCTCGGGGTTAAAATAGCTTTCCAAAGTCAACATCAGAAAGATAGTTGTCATCTAAAATGCTGTGTTGAGAAGAACTGTAAGACTGCATATACAGTTGGTAGGAAAGGGTCCTGTCATCAGTTAAGAGTACTTGTCACAGCCCGGTAGAAATACCTCATATTTACTATCTCCCATTTAGACAAATTATTTTCCAAAGTAACCATTCCCTATTGAGAATTTAGATATGAACTAGAGAAAGTTTCACTGAACTCACTAAGACTAACATTCTCTTTCTTTTAAAAAAAAAAAAGATTTTATTCATCCATCCATGAGAGACAGAGAGAGAGAGAGAGAGAGGCAGAGGGAGAAGCAGGCTCTATGCAGGGAGCTGGACGTGGGACTTGATCTTGGGTCTCCAGGATCACACCCGTGGCCGAAGGCGGCGCTAAACTGCTGAGCCACCCGGGCTGTCCAAAACTAACATTCTTTACATGTTCAATAATGATACTTTTAAATGACAGTCATCAACTAGGATCCTGGGTTACTGTAACAAAAGCACTTTAGTTTCTCATTCTAAAATTGGTCTTAAGACTATAATATTATTTTTAAAACTGTACTGTATTTTATAATTTTCATGTCATGTTTTTATTCTAAAAAAAATTGGTACTATTAGATATCAACAGAGAAACACATATGAATATGCAAGAGCCAAACTGAGATCTCATAAACACAAAATTTTTAATCAAAATATTCTCCCTTTAATAATGTCCTAGAAGTTCATTACTAAATAAATCAACCCACATCTTTAAAAAAAGACACCCACATCATAAAAGAAAAACAAAATCAACACTAAAACAGAAATTTTCTCTTCTATCCATGCTCCTGTCCTGTGCATTACCCACAACTTCAAAGGAACAGTCGCTGCTGTGTTTACTGAGCAGAAGTACTCAAAGTGTGGTGGCCACAGCAGTGGTGGCAGCAGCACCTAGGAACATGTCAGAAATGCCAATTCCCCAGCCCCTCCAACCTACAGACTCAGAAGTCCTGGAGCTGACTCAACAAAGTGAGTTCTTTCCCTCTAATGTGGCAGGCCCTTCACCAGCTTCTCCCCAGCACCTCTTCATTCTCTCACATTTTGCACAACTCAGTTTCTCATTTGAATGATTAATTCACAAGTAACTCTGTGATGGTTTCTTACTTTTTTTTTTAAATATGGGTCTGCGTTTTAAACTATCCAATACTTTTAAAAAAATTTTATTACACATAAATTATTATAAGCTGTTAACATTAGAAAGAGATTTTTAGCCTGTGTCAACAGGTATAAGAATAACCCAGTATTGGGAGAAAGGAGAACCCTCGTGCACTGTTGGTGGGAATGCAAGCTGGTACAGCCACTCTGGAAAACTGTATGGAGGTTCATCAAAAAGTTAAAAATACAAGTACCCTATGATCCAGTAATGGCACTACTGAGTATTTACCCAAAGAATACAAAAACACTAATTCAAAGGGATACATGCACCCCTAAGGTTTACTGCAGCATTATCTACAATAGCCAAACTATGGAAGTAGCCCCAGTGTCCACTGATAGATGAATGACTAAAGAAGATGTGGTTATGTATATAGGTACATATATACACACACAATCGAATATTACTCATAAAAAATGAAATTTTACCATTTGACAAAGAGGGAGCTAGAGTATTATGCTAAGTGAAATAAGTCAGAGAAAGACAGATATCATAATTTCACTTATAGGTGGAATTTAAGAAACAAAATAAATGACCAAAGGGGAAAAAGAGAGAGAGAAGCAAACCAAGAAACTGACTCTGAACTCCAGAGAACACACTGATGGGTCAGCAGAGAGGAGGTAAGTGGGGGATGAGGTAAACAGGTGACAGGGATTAAGGAATGCACCTGTCATGATGAACACTGGGTGTTGTATGGAAGTGTTGAATCTCCACACTGTATTCCTGGATTATACTATATGTTAACTAACTATAATTTAAATAAAAACTTTAAAAAATAATGCTGAATAAAAAATCATTTTGTAAATAGGCCCACTTTTTTCTTTTCATTCCATCTTAAGCTGTATACAGTCAAACACACATTTGTAGGAAGACTTTAAGTAAATCATTGTACCTGTCAAATAGTTTACAAAGACAAAATTATCCCATGGCCATCAAGAGTACAGTTTCTTTTTTTTTTTTTTAAGAGTACAGTTTCCAACAGAAGTGTCTCCGTGACATTCACACAACCCACTCTTGCATGGCATCTTACCTATGCACATAGTGCAGCTGATGAACAGAATCGATTGCGATCACCATCTCGGCCAAGTAAAATCGAGCCATATCTTCAGGCAATCGATCTTCAAATTTGCTGAGCAGAGTAAGCAAATCCCCACCAACATAATAATCCATGACCAAGTACTGGGAATGAAAAAAGAAAAAGTACTCAATACATAATACGGGTGAAAAACTAATACATGTAATGTAATTCAAGGTCAAATAGCACTGGGTCAGATACTTTTGTTGCTAATTACAAGAAACTACATAAGACAATTAGTACAAGGTTTGTAAATTTCAGGAAGCAGTAAAATAAAATTTAAAAACCTGAAGCAGGGAACAACACACCCTTGTTTTGTTTGTTGTATTTCACAAAGTAACAACATGGAAAACATCATCATCACCACCTATAATAGTACATCACTGTTTGACCAACATTTCATAGAGGAAACATATGAATTCTCCAAAAATGGTTAAAATAACTCAGAATATAAGACAGTCCTTTACTATGCTGAGCAAATTGATTTTCATCATCACTACATTTTCCTTTATTTCCTGTTGGACTGCTAACAACTTTATCAAACCAGCACCTGGACCAGTACTTGAAAAGCACTAATATATAGAATATAATAATTTCTATCATATACATATTTCTATTTTCACTCCTGACAGTACAGAAATATAAGAATGGACTTTTCTTAGGTATGTATAAACAGAAGTAAACTAATTTTAGAGTTTACAGTCTGTAGAGATACAGACTTTCATGAGTCTATTTGTAGGATACTGTGATTTATAATAAATATATATATTGCATATATTAATATAGCTATATTGTATATAGTATATTAATGTAATTATTATATATTATATTATATTATTATATTTATTAGATATATTTTGGCAGCGCTCCTAAAAACCATTAGAATCTCCTAAGTAGGGGTACCCGGGTGGTTCAGTCATGATCCTGTGGTGCTGGGATAGAAATCGTGTCAGGCTTCCTACTCAGTGAAGAGTCCGCTTCTCCCTCTCCCTCAGCCCTGTTCCCCTCCTCCTCTGCCTGTCCCTGATCGTGCTCTCTCTCAAATAAATTAAGTCCTTAAAAAAAAGATCTCCTAAGTGATAAGATAAAGGTAGCTTTTGTTACTTATAACAAACCCCTTTTCAACCACACTTATGTTTATATTAAGGAGACTTCTGGAAAGCCCTTAGGTAGCCTAAGGATGGGGGCTGGTCGGGCTGGTTGCCAAGGGAATCAACCAAGATTAGAAGGTTGGAAATTTCTAGGGAAGGCCTGGAGGCTGAATTAATCAACATCCAATGACTTGATCAATTATGCCTATCTAATGAAGCCTTCATAAAAACCCAAAAGGATAGGGTTTGGAGAGCTTCTGGCTTGGCAAACAAATGGCGGCGGTGCGGGAAGAATGGTGCACTTCTGCAGAGGCTTCATGCCTCTTCCATCATATCTTGCCCTGTGCACCTCCTTCATGGAGCTGTTCCTGAGGCAGGGGAGCAGCTCTAGAGAATCAAACATGTCTGAGGAGCAGGGAATGTCTAATATTTCATCTGTGAGTCAGAAGCACAAATAATAACCTGAACATGTAACTGGGGGTGGGGGGAGTGAGGAGGGGGTCTTGTAGGACTTGAACACTTAGTCTAGGATCTGATGTTGTCTCCAGGGAGACAGTGTCAGAACGGAGTTAAACTGTAGGAGTTGCTGGTGTCGCAGAATTTCCTGATGAGTTGAAAACCCACACATCTAATGTCAGAAGTGAAGTAGTATTGAAGGAGTACCATGTGTGTGTTTGCCAAAAAAGAAAGACAAGTTGGAGGCACTAAAATGTTCACAGGGATTAGCTCTGGGTTGTTAGATTATCCCTGGTATCATAGCTTTTTGGTATTGTTCTAGATTGCTTTATATGCAATGCATGCATCTCATATGAGTGTGCATATTATATTACACATATATTTTTTTAAATGAGTGAAAATGAGACGCAATGGAAAGAAGTCCTTTGTAGTCAGAGACACCTGTATTCAAATTCTGACACTGGGTTATAAGCGACTTTTGAAAAATTACTTAATTTCTTTGACACTTTATTCTCTTATCTTTTTTATCTATAATAATAATACCTTCTTCAAAGTACAGCACTCAGCGTGAAGGATAGTAAATAGAAGATATTTAAATGTCACTTATAACACCTTGAAGTTAAAATTATTTTATTACCTAATGAAGATATTACTTCAGTGATATCATCAGGTTGACATTTAAGATTTAGATTCTTGAGAAAATTCATATTCTTATTACTATACATTATAATTATAAGCATGGGTAATTTTTGTTAAATAAAATAAACTAATTTCATTTTTTGAATCCTTGAAAATGAGAAGAACAATGTATTTCAAATCCTGGTCTATGGTTGACTTGCTCTGTTTACTAGGCCTCATGTTTAAGAGACTCCATCACAAAGATTAGAACTAATCTAATGTAATGAAACTGTGTTAGCATAAATATGTTGCGAGAAGTGGCAATGGTTGCGGAGAAGAAATCCACATGTACTACTTTAAAGTACTCTGAATAGAAGAGCAAACAAAAAAACTTTTCAAATAAAGATGTCCGCTATTAAAACTGAAATCGAATATTTACATAAAAAAGTCATAAATAACATAACTCACTCTTTCAAAAAACAGTCCCTAGGTGCAAATCAGGATTTTTTTTGTACTAAACATGCAGAAAAAACCCAGAGGATAAAAAGACAAAAGGCTCCTTGCATCAAAAGCTTTCCTGTCTTGACGCGTACAATAGCTACTCCTGCCACCCCAGGCTCCTGAGGTCTAAGTACGACCATCCACCAGAAAACTGCTACAAAACATTCATCTCAACATTTCTGCTACCGATGGTCACACTCAAAACTGTGTCATTGTCTATCACCTACTTTCTTTTTTTTTTTTTTTTAAGATCTTATTTATTTGCTCATGAGAGACACACAGAGAGAGGCTGAGACACATGCAGAGGGAGAAGCAGGCTCCATGCAGAGAGCCTGACGTGGGACTCGATCCCAGGTCTCCAGGATCATGCCCTGGGCCGAAGGCAGCGCTAAACCGCTGAGCCACCCAGGTGTTCCTATCACCTGCTTTCATCCATAATCTGCTTCATGCTTCCTCTTTACAAACCCTGAGCCCCTGGATCCGTTCCCTTCCAGCCTCTCCATGTGCCTTACTGAACCTCTTCTCCAGTAAACAAATCTCCTGAGATAGCATAAAAAATTATAAATACATAATTATTCTGTTTTCCTTTGCTGCTGCTGCTAAACAGAGTTCCAGCTCTGTCTGCTCATATTCTTTCCTTACCTTGCCCTCAGCGTAAATTAGCTGTTCCTAGGACAGAATTCAGCAACTAGAGAAAGCAACAAGCAGAAAATACAAAAGAAAATTCTCAAAGAAAAGTGATGATTTGAAAATTAACTACACTTGTAATTGGGTTTTGGTGTTAAAGAGATAAGATGCATCAGAAACGGCATAAAAATAAAAACCCCACAGGGGAAAAAAGCTCCTTTTCTCCATGACATTTCCCAGCAAATATCTCTAAGAGCTATGAGCCATTATTTTATTTTCTCCTTTGTTCAGAACAACATCCAACTAAATCACCATGGTCATGTTGGGTCTACTTCCTACTAAATCTCCATGGAGTCCATCTAACCCTACCCAAAACCCCAATCCTGATCCAGGCCCCTGGCCTGACTTGACCTTATTACTAATACAAGTTTAAGGGCAAAGTAAAGAGCTTGCCACATTATATTTTATTCTAGATGTAACTTTCTTGGGAATGGAAGACAGAATACAGAACAAACAGGGAACAAAGCGGCTCATTAATTCCACAGATATGGAGTACCCACTATGTGCTAACATCACACTATGATTGGAGGAGCTACGATGAGTAAGATGTGGCTCCTGCCTTGATGGAATTTACCATCTAACGGAGAAGAAAACACAAATCATTGGGCAACTTCAGTGTAACATAAATACCATGACAGAAATAAGCAGAAGGTGCTGCTATAAGGTCTAAAAGGAAAAGAACCTAACCTTTGAATCACGTTCATTCATTCATTCATCTAAAATTTCTTTTTGTACAAGATGTGAAAATTATTCTCTTATTTATGGAGAGTCAATTATCTAAAATAAGTATCTACTTTTTTGGATATCCATTTTTTGGGAAAAATATCCATTTTTTCCAATTCAACTGAAATACTCCCTTATCCTAATTTAATATCCAAAATATACTTGGATCTGCTCTTGGACACTCTATTCTGCTACGGTTGCACTCAGTGATTAGTCAGTAAAATGTAATACATGGTACAACAACCTCCTACTCATAAACCATCTTTGAAATAGTACCCAATATGGCTAAGATGCCTTTAAACAAGTTTAAGAAAAATACAGACTGAGAGGTAACGTTCATAAACTATGTCAAGGAGAAGATAATCCTAACATAAAGAGCTCCCACCAAGGATTAAGAGGGCAAGCAATCCAAAAAAAAACCTAGGCTGAAGCTATTAACAGTTAATTCACCTAAGAGAAAACACAATAAGCCAATCAATACATGGTCAAAACCAAAGCAACAATGAGATACCACTCTATACCAATCAGATTAGCAAAGAGACCATTCCTACGTTGGGAACAGTGAGTTGAAACTGCTTTCTTGGGCATGACGACTTACTGCCTGCTCAGCAAAGTGACTTCATAGTATCTACTGAAATTTAAAAGGCACATAACCCCTGGACCTAGCATTCCACTTTTAGGAATATAGTCAATTAAAATAAAAACTCCAATGTGTAGGGCATGTGGGCTCATATATTTACTGCACAGCACTCTGAGTAACTGCAACAAATCAGAAACAATATGAATAGAGTCCAACAAGGAAACTATTAAATGTGTCCATCCAACATGCAACTGAATACTGTACAGCCACCAAAAGGAATAATTAAATAAACATGCCCATGAGCTCTTTGAAGGACGCCAGTGACCTGCAGAATAATATGGACTTTGTTTTTCCACATCCAAACCTCTGTATTGTAGGGGGGAAAGAGCTAGTCACAAAGAGCACAATTCTGCAAAGGGCCAAAGGCTATGGAACAAAAGTCAAAGGC